CTTAACTTAACTTAACTTAACTTAACTTAACTTAACTTAACTTAACAATCACTATTATGGGTCCATAAAACATTTATTCAGCACTTTTGAATGCATACAGTACATTAATTCCAAGTCAAGTGCATTTTCTTTTCTCTGTAGGATAACTACAACAAAGTGCATTCAGAACAAAGCCAAGGTGCTTTAAAACTACATAAACATCTAGGCCAGTAAGCCTACAACAAAATAGTGTAAATAAAGACTGTAACAGCCAGGCCTTCAACAACAACAAATGCACCTATAAGTTTGGTAACCTAACGTATTGTTGTTATGACGTAATCGAAACGCGGCGACAAGCACGGCGCGCGACCAAGCTCGCGGCTGGCTCACAGCCAACATGTCTGCCGCTTGTAGATATTTCAAAATATCAGAGAAAGAGGCGCGGATTGCGATTTGTAAAACGTGTTCAGCTGACATTTCTCGAGGGGGTGTAACTGCAAAGACTTTCACCACTTCGGGATTACTCCACCACTTGAAATCAAAACACCCGGAAAAATATGCGGAGTATGATCAACGTAACCCTGTTCTCTGACATTCGGTGATATTTTTTCGGTGCTAACCATTTTCGGCCAATAATTTTCGGTGGCCGAATATTCGGTGCATCCCTAGTATTTATCAGAGAAACCTCTGGGGGGTGGGGTTGCTGCAGGATAAACCACACAGTGATCCTAGAAGATCCTTTTGATGACCCTCCTGATCTGCCAGTGCCGGATCGATCCCCTGAGCCCACCAGAGAGCAGCTTGACGTGAGTGCCCCTGTGGATCCATTCATAAAGCCAAAGCTTGACACAAGATAACCGAGAAACTAACTTTCAGAACAAGAGATCCATGCTCAGCAAACTTCACCTGGACTTTATACATGAACAAATGCATACATGTCCACAGTTTATGTGGAAAAAGCTTCATCTGTCTGAAAACCTCCAACTGTTTCTGATGTGGCAGAGTGGCCGGATCGGAGCAGATGAAGTGATCGACGATGCGGATGGAAAAGAAGCAGAGGAGCTGGAGGAGAGGTTAAAGGAGAAAGAAGCCAAGACTCAGGCCATCCTGCTGGAGATGGTATGTAGAAGAAACGTGCTCTCAGCCTTAAATGGAACATACCAAGAATGCAGTATGTCTACGCTCTTCTGTCACACCATCCCTTAGGTCGGTGACCTCCCTGACGCAGACATGGCGCCTCCAGAAAACGTCCTGTTTGTGTGCAAACTCAACCCAGTGACCACAGACGAGGACCTGGAAATCATCTTTTCTCGTTTTGGGACCATAAAAACGTGAGGCTTACCTCCAAGTTCTACGCACTGTAAACTGTCATTTGTATTCAAAATGTTTATAGAACTAATTTTGTGGAAATTGTTTTTTTATATAAAACTTTTCTCATGCTACTTTGTTGTGTGTAGTTGTGAGATCATCAGAGACTGGAAAAGTGGAGATTCCCTCTGTTACGCTTTTATTGAGTTTGAAAAGGTGAGCATCTTATGTGTCTGCGTACTGTACAATATCTACCTGAACTACATGTGCACTGGTCTTTCTAATGTGAGTTGGACTGTGTTTACAGTTCAGTTACAGCTCAACAATTAATCATGTTAGTATACCTAATATTATATTAGTATCATTTAAATCAAAACAGAAACAGATGGCATAGCTCGGTCCCAAGTAGAAAACTTGTTTGGCAACATTTATCTTGCTTTTTAAACGGACATTGTTGAACTACTATAGTGTGCAGTGAGGGTAGCTCGACAGGATGCTGATAAACTGTAGTGAAGTATTGTCAGAACATGTATAGGACATAAAACGTGAACTATTTCACAGTTCAGGGAATGCCTCACTTTTTTTTTATTGCGGGGCTTCTCAAACATGAGGATGACATCTTTCAGCTCATCAGCCTTTAGTGACACAGGAAACTTTCTGCAGAACTTTGATCACAAACTTTGATTGTTGTCGTTATCACATAGATGCTGAAATATTATTATACAGATTTGAAAGTAATTTGCACTTGACCCTCAACCCTTTGATCACCTCCGATCATGAGCTGTGAGTCAGAGGGGAACCAGCCCTGAATGCAGCACAGCAGTAGGGTTATGAATGGTGGCGCTGACATGATGAAGTGGAATTCAAAATAAAATGTTCCAAATGAGGACCAGTCAATATATTTAATAAATGCATCAAACATCTGTACAAACACAGCCAATGAAAGATTCACTCTTAAATATCTGATATTTGTGCTGCTAGCTTTTGTTTATGCTTTAAATAAATGTACATATAGAAATGAGAGCTGCGGATAAGATATCAGACAACTATTAACCTAGTAATTATTTTTCACTTTTTATTCAAAAGTTCTCTGGTCCAGGATTCCCAAAACAGGGTTTTTATATTTCTCTAAACTTCTGAAATTGTAATTGACATTTAAAACAATCTTTTTACATTTCGTGGACTAAATAGTCAAATCAATAATTATACTAATTGTTGGTGGGGGCTCCTATAAACTAAAAAACCTTCCAGTTGGAAGATCACATTTGAAATGAGGTTTATTAATGACATAATGACATCATCTGTGCCTGACATTGACTTCATAAAGTTCCCCTCTAACCTCTATTTGTTTATTTTTTCTCCACAGCAGGAAGACTGTGAAAAGGCCTACTTCAAAATGGACAATGTGTTGATTGATGATCGTCGCATCCACGTAGACTTCAGCCAATCAGTGTCGAAGATTAAATGGAAAGGCAAAGGTACTCGTAGTGAAGCCTGAACGGCAGTGGCGTAGCCAGGAATTATTGTGTGGGTGGGCCTGGAGAAATGTAGGTGGGCCAGGGGGAGACTTATTAAGCGTGGGGTCTGAGCTGAAACTTCATTAATGATTTTAATGATTTTTTAATGCAATAATTGAACATAAGCATAAACTAGCAGTGAAAACAAAAACATAGGCAGCCTAGAATGTGTGTAAAACTGACATCCACATGACTAGGGATGGGTATCGTTAAGGTTTTAACAGTAGGCCTACTACTACTTTTATCGATACCGCTTATCGATCCGGTCTTTTAACGGTACTTTTATCGGTTTTTTGGGAGAAAAAAAGAAGGTAAACTGACTAAACAAATTGTGAACAAAACTAGCATTGCTTTTTATTTAACATAATACATAATATTTCACATCAAAAGAAACAACAGTGTTTTAACAAATCGTATTAAATAATGTGATGACAGAGCTGTAAACAGAATAGCTGAAACTTTAACAAAATAAATAACTCAGTTACCTCTAATCATTAACCCATGTTTGTATAATTGAGTTAACTCTGTGTGTTGCTGCTAGCATACATAACACCTGACGTGGAAACGTTACTCGTGGATGGGGCTACAGAGCTACTAGAAAGACAGTCGAACCCGGTGCATTTCTCCGTCTGAATGTGGTGCACTTTTGCTAAATGTTTAGACAAATTGCTCGTGTTACCGCCCTTACATGCTAAACTGTTATTGCACTTTTGGTAACGAGCATTGTCCACATC